GGGGGGGCAGTTGGCCCGGTGGCAACGTACCTGTACTGGTCCCAGGGCCGTCAGCGGGTCCCTCCCTGTCCCCTTCTCCTTCTTACTCTTTCCTTTCCCCGTGGGCCAAGACCTCTGCCCTGGGCCCACTGGGGTCTTTATCAGTTTCTTTTCTCAGTCAGCATATAAACCTTGGCCCTTCTTATTTATCCTTAGGTTTATTTGTGCTGCTACTTGCTTTTTACTTGTATTTTAACTTCCAGTCCCTCAGAAGTTATCGAGGCTCTTTTATCTAACCTGAAAGTGCTGGCACTTGCTCGTGAGGGAAGTCACATGCCCAATACGTGGTTAATTAGTCCATAATGACACTGAACAGCACTGTCACCTGCATTTCGCTATCATGCTGTAAAATTAAAGCTAATGCTGCTCGCTTGCCCTTCCAGGAAAGTCGTGTGGTCCACCGGACATCCCGAATGGCAGCTTCAACTACACCACTGACCTGCTGTTTGGGGCCACAATAACCTACACCTGTAACGTGGGGTAAGCCCGGGCCCAGGCTTTTCACAGCTGGGGGGCTGTTTGCTTGGCATGGTGGGGGATGCTGGCAGCGGGGAGCTGCGGGGGTTGTCTCTCCTGTTGTCAAAACTGGTTATCTCCTGGGCATGAGGGCACGGCCTTGGCAGACTGCTTTTCCGCTGTTTTGCAAAGAATTTTGTTCCTTTCCTGTGGGTGCTCGGTTAGTCATTCAGCGTTTTCTGTTGCACAGTGGGTTCAGCTGTCTCTGTCTTCGCTAAGGGGTCTGAGGGAAAGGGGCTGCAGTGTCCTGGGGGTGCTGGGAGCAGGGTGAGAGGGAAAGAGAGTGGTTTGGGTACATCAGTGACACTCAGCTCTGCTCAGAAAATAAATCTGGGTCTACCACTGCGCAGCCTCAGGGTGGGGATGCCGTCTCACTCACAGTCCTGGGAGCTTCTGTCCACACAGGGCGAGTACAGAGTTTCCTCTAACTGCATCATATATTGTGTATTTCTTTAAGTATTAAGAAAATTGTATTTTATAGGAGGGCTAGCTGATTTTCCCCTAGGGTTCAGCTCCTCTGGAGAATACCATTAGAAACTGTACAACTTTCTGAATTTCTCAAGTTTTAAAAATTTTTTAAAAAGAGATTCAACCTTCCCATAGGTACCGATTAGTTGGGAAGACGTCTGCAGAATGTGTACTTAAAGGCAATGAAGTTTTTTGGAACGCAGAGCCATACTGTCAGGGTAAGCAGATCTTAAATGTTTTGTGTACATCTCCTCCTCGAAGCTATTGCAATAGATCTGGTGGTTTGGGGAACCGCAGCTGGATATTCTCGGCACCTAATGCAAATTCTTTCAGGCTTTAACAAGACTGACTCCTTACCTCTCCCCCAAACGCGCACTCTGGGTGGAGCTGGGAATGAAAATGAAATGCCAAGGAGGATCTGTGGATGTTGGTGTCCGATCTGTGAGAAAAGCAGCTCCCGAGGCTGCCTGTGGGTATCGCCCAGCGCAGCCACGCAGCGAGGTTCCGCCAGGCTGGCGCGGACGCTGCAGCGCCCGTGTTGTGCTCTCCGTCAGGCAGCCCTTGCTGAATTGTTTTGCAAGATTCCTTCAGACGCGACCGCGTGTCTAAAAATCTCAGTTTTCAAAGGAGAGATAAATGCCAAGAGTTTTGTTGGTGCTGTTTGGGCTTTTTTAGCATCCCGTGGGATGGGCCTGACCATCAGCTGGTGATGGTTTAGATGGTTTGCTGCTGTAGTCAGTATTCTGGCCTTACCCTTGGTAGTACAGCGAAGGGAGGAAATGCCATCACCAGCTGGTGAGGGTCCCAAACTGCTCGGTGAGGCCTCTTCTGTAGTGCCTCCTCTTGGACTATAGACGCTGTTTTGCCATTTTACCATTTATCCATTTAAATAAACCCGGGAAAACACTCAGAATTTAAAGATGCACTCAAGACCTTAGGTTGAGATGATTGCTTTAGGGCTGCTTCACTGGTTTTAATTTGGCTTTTTTTTTTTTTTTGTTTGGGTGAGTTTGGTTTGGGATTTTTTGTTGGTGGGTGATTTTTTTTTTCAGTAGCTTAGACCTCAGTTTCCTATTCAATGGACATGTTCTTGCATTTTCTTACTGTCGCTTTCCCATGCAGCTATTCCCTGTTTATCACCTCCTGTAATCGAGAATGGGCAGCTCATTGATGGGAACAGAGACTTCGTCTTTGGCATGGCTGTAACCTACAGATGTAACAAAGGTTTTTCTCTTGTTGGAGATTCCACAATTCACTGTGCAGCGGATGAAAACCAAAATGGAATCTGGAGCGGTCCAGCCCCTGAATGCAAAGGTAAATGCTTTCTCTCTCTCCTTATTCTTTTGACTTTGCTTCTCGTTCCTCTCCCGATCTGTACTTTCCCGATAGGCTGCCAAACATGAGAAGGTTGATTTGAGCCTAAAAGGATTCCCAGAGACTGTAATGCAGTGGTCTCTCAAGTCATGGTCAGAGGCAGGGCTTGGTTTAATGGATTCTTCAGCCCACAGAAAGCCTCCCTCTCCCTGCCCATGCCCAGGGCTTCCTGCAAATGAAAAATGAAGCTCTCGCATGTGCATTTTCTTAATGATGCCTCTGTTCAAAGAGTACCTGCACCCCACTGGGGACCTGCCTCTCTCAAGGGGAAAGGACCGCAGTTCTCTTACCGAGCTTCTCGTGTAATGCCTCTGGTATTACTGCAGGGCTTTTTCTTCTTGTGCTAAATATCCTTATCGTCTTATCTTCACTTCCAGTGGTCAGATGTAAAAATCCAGAAGTGAAAAATGGAAAAAAGTTATCTGGCTTTGGCACTGAGTACACGTATAAGGATACAGTGACCTTTGAGTGTGATCCTGGTCATTTATTGAATGGTAGTAACATAGTCACTTGTGAAGCAGATAATAGCTGGAAGCCACCTCTGCCAATGTGTGACCCAAGTGAGTACGAACAATTTTATTTCCCTGAGAAATTGCAGTGAAGTAGGTCTGAGGCTTTTGAGCAGGTCAGATTCTGAACCTTGTGTGCCTGGAGCCATGCCCTTGCAGGGTGTGTTGGCTTGGGTCCTCAGCGTGGCAGCCCACGCCAGTTATATATTTAGACCTAAAACTATTTATCTGTGAGCAGCAAATGAACCAAAAGTGCACTGAAAGGAGGGATGAAATTTCCTTCTACACCTGACAGACTTGCTTCACCAGCTTCCAGACCCGTTGGGGACATTTGGCTTCTGAGCCGAGCTGAATTAAGCCCCTGCAGGCTGGGTTGGTGGTCAGTGATGGAGCACCTCAGCCCCAGAGATGTTCCAAATCTCCATCTTTTCTCTGGTGAAGCAAACTCTGGTATATGCTGCTCCTTGCTGAATAAGTTGGATGCCAACTATATCCCAGACACTGACATTAAAACAGATTAAAATGTTGCATGCTCCGATACCCACGGTTGGCTATTGTTACTGCAGACCCTTCGGGTACTTTTCTGTAACCCACCTTCCTTTTCTCTCCGACTGTCAGTCCTCTGCGGCCCTGCTCCTCGCTTCCCTTTCGCCGAGTTAACGAGCTCTGTGGGTGACAGCTCTCTTGCTGGAACTAAGCTGAGCTACCGGTGTAAACCCGGTTACGCTGCAGCAAGTGGAAAGTCCTCTGTTGTCACTTGTCTGGATGATAAAACCTGGTCTGCAGACCCAGACTTCTGTATACGTGAGTATCCCTGTTCCTCCTTTGTCTTGACTGTGCAAGTGATCTGTACACACCTGAGAGGTTCCTCTGAAATTTGGGTCATGCCCTTCTCTGGGTTTGACGTAATTCCTGCGCTGCTTTCTCTTCTCCAGGGCAGCGATGTTCTCCTCCCACCATAGAGAACGGGGATGTGATCGCAGACAATTTCCTCTTTGAGACAGTTGTGACGTTCACCTGTCATCCTGGGTGAGTGGATTGCTGCTTACAAGGGACCAACTCAAGGGTGAGAACATGGGGATTGCGGGCGGTAACATCCACCCCCCAGCTTCCCCGTGCAAGGCTCCAGTGAAATCGTATATTACGTCTTCAGTGGGGTGAGCAGGTGGCAACATGTGTGTGCTTGGCAATGCAGTGAACTGCTTCAACTCGGCTCCAACCAGTGCCCTTATTTAGTGGTGGTGATGTGACCAGATCCCATTTCACAGCAGGGGCAACTTCTGGTTAAGAACTTGCCCGCATGTAGTGGTGGGAGGCGGGGAAGAACCTTTTCTGGGTTCTCTTCTGGGAAGTACTAAACTTCATCTCTTTCTTTAGGTTTGAATTAAAGGGGTCATCTTCTGCCAAGTGTGTGGTATCAGGAAATGGAGTAGATTGGGACGCAGCATCTCCCTACTGTGAAAGTAAGAGGGGAAAATCCATGCACAGAGCCATTAAGATAATAGTTGGAAATGCACTGGTGTAGCTGCCTTGCTGGTGGGCTTGGGCTGCTCTTGCTTTTTAATTTAATCAGCTGTAAAATTGAGGGTTTCAGTACTAACTCAAGCTGTAGGGCCTGAGGTGCAATAGTCTCATACAGTTCAGAAATTATGCTGGCAAAGTGGAAGGAGCAAGGAAGAGCAGGAATTATTTAAAAAAAAAAAGTCACAGGAAGAAAGTTTTCTTTCTGTAGTTACCAGGGAAAGAGGAAGATCATTGGATGTTAGAACTCGGTCCACTCCATTTGGTACAACACTGAAATCAGGGGTTACAAAGTTGGTGTATAGTGTTATGTGAAGCTAGAAAGGGCTGAAGTATTTCTTCTGGCCTAATTAGGCACTTCAGTGGCTGATTTCATGGGGTGTGATCCTGGAGCTGTGGCTAATGGCCGTAACTGAGGCGAGTACCAAGCAAGAAAGCTCAAAGTCTTTTCAGTTGCTGCTGGATGGGTGGCGTTTGGCTGTACCTCCTCCTCCCCACACAGCTCTGCACCTCCTCCGTTAGGAGAAGTACTCAGACGCTCTCGCTGATGTCCCTCCTGTAGGACAGCTCCCTGATGTTCTCTGTGAAGATCCCCCCACGATTGACAATGGGATACACAATGGCACGAAGGGTGGGGCCTTTGTCTACGGCTCTGTCGTGGTTTATAAATGCAAAGATGGCTTCACCCTTGCTGGAGCGGCCTCTATCCACTGTACGGTTGATCATCAAGACCGTGGAGTCTGGAGCAAGCCTACTCCTGAATGCAAAGGTGGGGTTCTTCCTACAGAACAGCTCCCTGATGTTCTCTGCGAAGAGCCCCCAATGATTGACAACGGGATGCACAATGGCACGAAGGGCAGAGCCTTTGTCCACGGCTCTGTTGTAGTTTATAAGTGCAAGGAGGGCTTTACCCTTGCTGGAGCGGCCTCTATTCGCTGTACGGTTGATCTTCAAGACCATGGAGTCTGGAGCAAGCCTACTCCTGAATGCAAAGGTGACTGTCTTCTGTATCTGTCTTGCTGCCTCCTCTCTGTCTTCAAAATACCTATCTTCTCCTTCCTCCGTGAATCCTCAAATCAGATAATTCTGCTAAGGTGTAAGCCTTCGATGCTTCCTGAAACAGCTTCAGCCACAGTCTCGTGCCAAACGAGCACGATTAGGTTGCAGTGTGGACTTGCAGGCTAGTGGAAATGTATCCTGGTAAATACATCTAGGTTTTAACAGGTAAAACGTCGGTGGAGTTGGGCTACGCAGGGGTCCCGTTCTGTGTGTTGCTTGAATTGTCTTCCATGTGCGTTGGCTCTGGTTCGAGATACTGCACGTGGTGTCATCTGATGAATTACCGTGCTGAACGGGCACAGAGTTTCATGTTTGGCTTGCTTCCCTTCCAGGTGCAGCGAACATGATCACTGTTGGTAAGTAATACAGATTCCTGAAGCCCTGTGCCGTGCTCTTGCCTGTCTTTATGTTGTTGTCTCCTGTGTGTTCTGCTTGAAATAGGTTTAAAAGCCTTCTGCTACAGTCTGTTCTTCTATTTATATTGTTACTTTGAGATCATGCTGTGAAAAAAGGGGGGAAGGTAAAGGGGACCAGGGAGGGAAAAGATAGTTGAATATGTTTTGAGTAAAGACTGAAGCTTCTTATCTGTCTGCTGTAGGAATCTTCCCCCTCCTCCTGGCATTGCTGATTATGAACATCTAGATTAGGGAACAGGCCCAGCGGGGAGGCAGCTGTAGATGTGTTGAACTTGATCACGCCCATCCCAGTGCCCTGCTTTTCTCTCCTGTGAAACTGGCCTCGAAGCAGCCACCAACAGCCCCGGGATGACGAACCCCGACGCTCCGTGCCGCTGCCCGGGACTGCCCTCACGCTTTTGGACGCAGCAGCTCAAGCGCGGGGCCGGGCTGGGAGGATCTCTGCCACCCAGCTGAGAACGCTCTTCAGAACTCGAGTGATTATCCCCACGTGAAGTTGCAATGATGCCAAAGACATTCATGCTGCAATAGAAAGGCTCAAGAAAATCCTGCGCTTCAGGTACCTCCACATGCCGTTTCTCAGCCCCGCTACGGTCACGTTGTGCCTGGTCCTAGTTGGGATTCAGGGGTTTCTTAAGTGTTCTGAGGTGGAAAGTGCTGCCACTGCCAAGAGGATTAACAGTGATGTCTTCATGTGAGTGATACATAATTTAAAAAAATGGATATGAATAAGTCAGGTGTAATTTGTGACTACCAAAAGCACTGAAAATGTTCATATAAAAGCGCAATTGTAGCCGTTACTTCGAGGCGAGTCTGAACCCTTGTGCAAATAGCAATCCTTCCAAATCAGTAATTTTACCAGAGAGAAAAAAATTTAAATATCTTATGACAAAGAACTACTATTCTGACTCTTCCTGTGTGTACTAAGATTAGTTTTAATCTTCGGCTGAAGGTCTCTGCCCTGGCACTGTCATTGTATCACGACGAGGCTTTTCCGCAAGTACCTTGTGGAAACGCCCGTCTTGTCTCTGCGGTGACTCAACGCTTCTACCCAAGTGCTGAAGCTTTCGGTGGGCTGAAAGCCCCGGGGGAGCGCAGCTGGGTGGGTGCTTGGAGGCAGCGGAGCTCATCCACGGGCAGGTGTGTCCGGGCCGAATGCAGAACTTGCAGGTGTCGTGGCAGATGCCACCAAACATCAGAAAGTTGTTGCGTGTGAACCTTTTCACTTTCTGCTCAAATGCTGCCTGCCTGGGGCGAGTCCAAAGCAGGGGATCGCTGTCTGACTTTGCACTTAAAAGGCTTTTTCAGGGGGTGCAGTGCACCCCAACTGTGCTGGCTCCCAGCACAGGTTGGCCGGGTGCCAGCTCAGCCCCAGGGTGCCCAGGGGCTGTGGTGGTTCTGGGGAGAAAACGCGGGGTTTTGGGCTCTTGCCCTGCTCGCAGCAGGGCTGGCGGGTGGCTGCACAGGGCGACTGCTGCTCTGATGCTGCACCCGCGGCAGGCGCAGATGCACATCGAGCCAGAGCCTTAATTTATTCCTCCATGGGGAACAGGACGCAAACCCCACACCACCTTTCTTGCACTGTGTTTTCATCTGTCTGACCTATCTCGCTGGTTGTTGTGCTGAGAACAGTTTGTGAGGGTGGATAGAGGTGAGCGAGGACGCGTGCTGTCCTCAACTCCAGCCAGGCTTTGGCAGTGCCACAGGGACAGCTCCGATGACGGGACCTCTGTCACTTTATTTAAACCAAAGAAGCAGGCAAAAGTGCCCTTGATTTGTCTGGCTGATAGAAAGCCCATGTTGTGGTGTTGATGTCCTTTCCTGGCTTTAACTCAGCCTCGCTAAACAATCACTTAATAAGCGAAAGAGGGATGTAGCATCTCGTCAAATGAAGTAAGGATTTGAAGGTTTCCTGAGAATCCTGTTTATAAGGGGAAAAAAAAAACCCTGTGATGAAATTTAAACTTGTTGAGCCCGAATCCAGCTTGAGACATCAGGACTTTTAGCTGCCAGTAAAGCAAGAATTTGAGGTTTGGTGTTTTGTCTGACACAGAGGTGAATCGCCCATCTGTGAGCTTCTCATGACGCGCACTTGGGATCAGGAAGTATTTGAAATGTGTCTACTACATGCTTTTTGTTTCTGCATTTTCACAGTGCTTTCCTGTTAACAGGAACACGCATCTAATGAGAGGGAAAACCACAAATAGCCATTTCCATCAACAAGTTAGCCCTGTTCCAAATAAACCCACAAAGTTCTCCCTTCCCCGCAGAGCACTGTCCTGCTCAGCTGTCACTGGGGCACTGCCAGATACTGTTTTTGGAAACCAGTCTGCAGAACAAGGACTTGCAGATTGCTGGTTATTTGTATGTATTTCTTACCATAAGCCATGTTTGTGACTAGAAGAACAAAACACAAATGTAAAGCCTCACAGCTTAGTGTTGTGTTCTGTTTCGTTATTTTAATCCCAGCACAATTATTCCTGTTGCCTAGTCCAGAGTGGTTGTTCCAAATGATTTAAGACCTGATTTAGGTCTTGGATCATTTGGAAAAAATGCAACCGCATGGAAAATCATTTGGAAAATCTGCAACCAAATGGAAGAAACTGTGAATGCTGTGACATAGCTTACGGGTGTTGAAGAGTGCTTATCTGCTGTGTTCATAATTGAGTTTACATAATTTTACTTCATAATCTGAGTGTAAACAAGTGCAATTCTGAAGTGTAAATGTTGGGTCTGTAAACACTGGAAGATCTTTGTCAATAAAAGAGATAAAAAGACTTGAGTAATGCACACTTCGCTGCTTGTGTTAGGCTCAGAAAACATCCTCTGCTATGTGAGGTGGGGAGCTGGAGGTTCCTGTGGCTGCTCCTACATCAAAAAGTCTTGTCTGTGGATTTTTATTCTTCCAGCCAGTGGCAAGGGATGAGGCCACCTTGGATATGAGTCCTAGAGCAGCCAGGGTCGGGTCAGGAGGGGTCAGGTCCCTGGCTGCAGGGCTGCACCGCCTGGCCCAAGCACCCACGGCCCTGAGGGACAGACGCGTCCCCGACAGCCGCCAGTCCCACGTGTGTGGGAGGAGAGAATGTACCACTCTGCCCTTCCCGTACCCGGGCACCAAGCCATGCCCCTTCGGCGTGGGAAGGGCTGCTGTCACCACCCGGGGACTTGGGGCAGAGCCTGGGTCACTTCCCTAACTGAGGATGCCCCCCACCAAGGGCACGGTTTGGCTGACAGTACCTCTGTGCCTGCACCCACCCCTCTCACAGGTCCCTGTGGTCCCAGGGGCCCATCCTCCCCTGCCAAAAATAGCAGCAGAAGCAGCGTGTGGGACCTGCAGCCTGCCCGAGGGTGGTGGCTGTGCCCATCCTGTTTTGGGGAGCCCACAGGTTCCTGTCCCGTGGCCCTGGGAAGCCCCGCAGCTGCGGCTCCTTCCGCACATGGGGGCAGTGGGGGGAACTGGGGTGCCTTTATCTTCCCACAGCCCCCCAGGAGCTGCAGTCTGCACCGGGGACCGGAGCATGGTGCTTGCCTTCGCCCTCTGCCTCCTGGGCAGCTCCGCGTTGCTCCTGGCCACCACGGACAGGGCTCAAGGTAAGGAGGACCAGCAGGTCTGCACCGCTGGGGCCTTCCTCTCATGGCCCTCTTCTTCCTCATCTCTGCTCCTCTCCTCGCTGATCCTTTTGCTTTTCCCTGAGCCTTATGCTGGCCCCGGGTGGACCTCAGCACGGCAGACCCTGAGCATCACGGAGCCTCTGAGCTTCTCTGCTAATGAAAAAGACTCTCTGGGATGGCACCGGGGCCACGCTGTGCCCTTCAGTGGCCAGGGGAAAGGGAGCTACAACTTCTCCATGGAAGGCTGTGAAGAGTCTTTCACAACTTGCCTGGCTTCTCGTAACATACGTGTTTAAACTGCCAAAGTAAAGCTGGTTATGGGTACCGCGTCTTAGAGCAGTGAGGCAAGGAGCTTGTTCCAATAACAGATTGTGTTTGAGCTCTGTCAAACTGAAATTTCCTGTGATAAACAGAAATGCATTGAGATGACACAGGAGAGTAAAATGGCAAAAGACTGTGCTGTTTGGTGTGTTCAGTCTGAAAGCCCACAGGGCATGAAAGCCTGGGAGGTAGCCGGGTGTGCCCGTGTGTTTGAGACAGGGTAGCCAAAACCTACAGAAGCTCAGCTCCATCACTGCAGTGTGGTGGTGTTTACTCCTTCCTGTCCTGTAAGCTGTAAGGTGCTGCAACCTGGCTGCCCTGGTAAGATTTGAGAAGTGTCTTGGTACCATATGGAGAAGACTTCAGCCTCTATCCTCAATCACGTTCATTACTCACTGGCATCTTGAGAGACCAAAGGCTGACCTTAGCTGGCTGCAGTAGCTCAGTGGCAGGCTGGGAGTCAAGCATCAGTGACTGCGAAAGGCTAGATTATGTTCTTTTAAAAAAAGAAATATCACTAAGTTAACACTTTGTAAAAAGGTTAAGTCATATTTTCTTCTATTATACTTGGGTTTCTGTATATTCAGCTGAGGTATATGCGTTCAGTTCCCAGCCTTGTGGAAGCAGCTGTCATTGCTCCCGTGCCGTCTGATGCTGGAGAGCTGTGGTTCTCCAGCAAAGCCAGCCTCGGAGCTCGCGATGGGCTGTGCCTGAACAGCGCAGAGGCACAGAGCTGTGGCCCTTTACTCAGCAATTCAAAGGATATTATCAGTGAGAGGCGTCTCTTTTACCTTCTTTCTACATTTCCGCATCTAGTGCAAGTATTTGCCCGGTGAATAAAAAGGTACTTCCCTGTGGCTTTAGTTGTGAACATCTGCCTGCCTCTCTGCCTGTCTACCTCTGCCTCTCCCTTTCCCTCTGCAAACAACCCCTCGGCACCCCTGGAAGCACCCCAGCAGGTTCACGGTAGGTCCCCTCTAAGGCACAGCAGAGGTTTCACATGGCACCCCCAGCCCACACTGCACACCCCTGGGTGCCCCTGCTAGCACAGAGCCCTGGGCTGCCGTTAGGTCGGTCCTGGGTGGTCCTGCCAACGTTTCCCCAGTCAGATTGGACCCAGGGGATGGTCCCAGCCTGTGGGGTAGGAGCACGCAGAAAGGCCACGGAAGGCTCTTGACCTCGCTAGGTGATTGACACAAAATCCTGGACACGCAGTTCTTCTGCCTCACTCCCCTGCTCAGGCTGTGTGGAAACCATCAACGCAGCAACCAGCTCAGGCAGGAAGAGCTTGAGAGCTGTGTAGGTAAATGATGTTTTATTTCTCTCCCTTTTCCAGCCTCCTATTGCCCATTCCCACGTGTCCGCCATGGGAAGAGAGTATCCATCGCTCGCTCTTTCTACAGGACCGGGGACACCGTAAGCTTTGTGTGCAACACAGGGTACACCCTGCAGGGCTCCCGCAAAAGCATGTGCCGAGCTAAATTCGGATGGATCCCACCTCTGCCAGTGTGCAAAAAGGGCAAGTGTCCCAGCGTGCGGCGCGAGTGGTGATAGCCACGGGGGGAAGCTCCCTCTTGGGTCTGCTAAAATTCGGTGGGAAAACAAAGCCGGGGTGAATCCGTCCTCCTTGCTTCTCAAACCAAAGTGCTGCCAGCTTGGCTCTCGGAGACAGAAATGGCTTCGAAGAAACTAGCTGGGGAGAGACATGGGGGTGGCTGCAGCCTGCCCTGCCTTGGGCTCTGAGAGGGATGGGGAGAAGTTAACCCTGGGCTGAGCTGCTGTGTGGCCAGAGGCTGTAACACCCCTGGCACGCTCGAGGGCTGCGGGGATGGCAGGATCTGCCGCCCTGGGGGGATATCGGTGACTCTGCTTCTGGTCAGATGTGGGATGTTTTCATCTTCCTCCTGGAACAGGAAGTAATCACAGCTTCTCGCTCTTGCTGCTTCCGTGTCCATGTGCATCTTCTGCCCAATGCCTTGACGTGCCTGGGAGTCCTCTGGTCAGGATGTCATTATTGTTAGAAATTTCCTCCAGCCACAATGTGATTGTAATCTTAGCGCTGCCGTCCCTTTTGTTAACTAATACTTTGAACTAGCAAATGGAACAAAGACTAAGCAGAATTCAGGATATTACCCTGATATTACCCAAATTGTCCCAGTAGCACATAGAATGGCAAACAGCTGACTCACAGGGCAACTTCTTTTCCCTTTCCAGAGGTGACATGTCCTCGGCCACCAAACATCGCCAACGGGCTGCACAGCGGACAGTCCTTGAACAAGTTTTCTCCGGGAGTGACCGTGTACTATGGCTGCAAGGATGGCTACGAGCTGTTTGGAAACGTGTCCATCAACTGCACAGAGGCCGGGGTGTGGAGCTGGCCCCTGCCCCGCTGCAAAGGTGGGTGGGTGAGTGCTCCATTGCTGGGGAGGGGGCTGGTGGAAAGGGTGCTGGATGTCCTGTAGGAACAGCACAGACGGGCTCATGGCAGAGATGAGAAGGGAGGGGGCCGTGTGTGCAGGATCCGGCCCATGTGCTGAAGTTTAAAGGGTGCTGTCCATGTTCCCCACAGCAATCGGCTGTGACGTTCCCGAGGTGCAGAACGGGCAGGTCCATGGGCTGCAGAGCACCTACAAAGCTGGAGAGACTCTTCACTTTGGCTGCGACATCGGTTATGCCTCAGAGGACGCCTATGAGGCCCAGTGCCTGCCCGGGGGGGCCTGGGATCCACCAGTGCTCATCTGCGAGAAGGGTGAGTGTGGGTGCCCACTGCTTCCCCGAGGGTAGCCCTGCCCGGGGTGCTCCCTGCAGGCAGGGACAGCGTGTGCAGGCAGGGACAGCGTGTGTAGGCAGAGCCGTAACTGCAATGGGCTTTCACCCATCGTTCAAGCATCCCACCAGCTCCTTCTCTCGCACGCTGCTCTCTCGCTGAGTCTTTCTGCCTCCCTCTCGCAGTCCGACCTTGCCCCATGCCTCCGGAGATCACCAATGGACATCACAATGCCAAGGACAAAGCATTTTTTACCACGGGAATGTCTGTAACATACACCTGCGATCCTGGCTACTACCTTGTTGGAAATGCCTCTGTGTTCTGCAGAGCATCAGGGAACTGGAGTCAGCCCAGCCCTCGCTGTGAAGGTGCGTCCGTTTCTGTCCCCTTGCGGGAGAAGCTCATAGTGTGGCTCTGAGCCCAGGGGAGATCCTGACTTGTCACTGAGCCCTTCAGTGAGGGATTCAATTCCCCTTTAATGAAATATAAAGTTTTATAACACGTAAATAAGAAGCTTAGACACATGAACCACAGCTGGGTCTTTCTATAACTGCAGCTGCACACGCTGTACCTCGCTCTTATGCTGGGGCTGGGTGCTGGTCACCCTGCAGTGTATGTCCGGGAGCTGGCACATCCCCTCTTAATGTGAGATCAAGTGCAAAGGGGGCTTCAGAGCCAGCACCCTTGTCCCGGCGCTCCGGTGGCAGCCTGGCTGCAGCACACCACGGAGAGCCGGCCGGTGATGGTACGGGGGACCAGGCACGGCCATGGGGTGTGACAGCCTTCAGGGTGAGACCAGAGGGATTTTTACAAATCAGTCCAACCGTCTTTGTCCAGAAAAGTTAGAGGAGATGTTGGGCACCCAAAGAGTGGCTGTCAGGCCAGACCTGGCAGTACCTGTTGTGCGAGCCCTCTGCCTTCCTCATGTGCCTTCCCCCATGTCTGCTGTGCAGGAGGTTTGCATTGAGCTGTCTCTCAGGTGTCTCCTCTCCCAGATGTTCTCATGGGCTTTTCCTCTCTCTCTCCAGAGGTGACATGTCCTCGGCCACCAAACATCGCCAATGGGCTGCACAGCGGACAGTCCTTGAACAAGTTTTCTCCGGGAGTGACCGTGTACTATGGCTGCAAGGATGGCTACGAGCTGTTTGGAAACGTGTCCATCAACTGCACAGAGGCCGGGGTGTGGAGCTGGCCCCTGCCCCGCTGCAAAGGTGGGGGGGGTGGGTGCTCCATTGCTGGGGAGGGGGCTGGCGGAAAGGGTGCTGGATGTCCTGTAGGAACAGCACAGACGGGCTCATGGCAGAGATGAGAAGGGAGGGGGCCGTGTGTGCAGGATCCGGCCCATGTGCTGAAGTTTAATGGGTGCTGTCCATGTTCCCCACAGCAATCGGCTGCGACGTTCCCGAGGTGCAGAACGGGCAGGTCCATGGGCTGCAAAGCACCTACAAAGCTGGAGAGACTCTTCACTTTGGCTGTGACATCGGTTATGCCTCAGAGGACGCCTATGAGGCCCAGTGCCTGCCCGGGGGGGCCTGGGATCCACCGGTGCTCGTCTGCGAGAAGGGTGAGTGTGGGTGCCCACTGCTTCCCCGAGGGTAGCCCTGCCCGGGGTGCTCCTTGCAGGCAGGGACAGCGTGTGCAGGCAGGGACAGCGTGTGCAGGCAGGGACAGCATGTGCAGGCAAAGCCGTAACTGCAATGGGCTTTCACCCATCGTTCAAGCATCCCACCAGCTCCTTCTCTTGCACGCTGCTCTCTCGCTGAGTTGAGTCTTTCTGCCTCCCTGTCGCAGTCCGACCCTGCCCCATGCCTCCGGAGATCACCAATGGACATCACAATGCCAAGGACAAAGCATTTTTTACCACGGGAATGTTTGTAACATACACCTGCGATCCTGGCTACTACCTTGTTGGAAATGCCGCTGTGTTCTGCAGAGCATCAGGGAACTGGAGCCAGCCCAGCCCTCGCTGTGAAGGTGCGTCCGTGTCTGTCCCCTTGCGGGAGAAGCTCATAGTGTGGCTCTGAGCCCAGGGGAGATCCTGACCATTGCAGCCAGATCCTCAGAGAGTGTTAATTCCATATAGTGTTGCACGGTATAAATTTATTTCAAGTCCTTCTATTGTCAAGGTGGGGCTGGCGATGTTTATGTAGAAGTTATGTTGATTTTTTTGTCGCAATATTAACAGCTTGTGAGTTTTTTGTTTTGATTTGTTCCAACATCCTCTGCATATCTCTTTGGCGCGTCATCATTTCCAGTGGCTGTCTGCAGAAATCCAGATATAGAGAATGGAAGGCAAGTTGATGGTCACGGCTCTATCTCTGCACCTGGGCAAATGTTGACATTTCAGTGTGACGATGGTTACAGCCTGCAAGGCAGTGCTAAAGTCTTCTGCCAGGAGGATGGCAGCTGGCACCCTCCTGTTCCCTTCTGCAATAGACCACACCATTACCAGGAGCTCTCCAACAGGCCTGAACTGCAAGGTAAATAGTGACACAATTGCCCTGGGGTACACTGCTATTTTTTGTCCCTTAACTCCATTAAAAAATTGTGGTTAAACCCTGTGAGTGGAAGATTTAAGTATATCCTGGGAATAAGAACCTGATCCTCTGGAATCCTCTGAACAAATATGTTGTGTTTGTTCAATAATAGCTATATTAAGCCAAAAAAACCCACAATTTTGCAAGGCAAACCAAATACCCTTTCTCATAACAGTGTTCTTTCTGTGTTTGCACCCAGCATGCTTGTCCTGCCTGATTCTCATGTCTGTTTTCTTTCTCAATAGGTGGTTGTGGTGCTCCTACAAGGTTACACTTTGCTGAGCTAAATCAGGAGCATATAAATGAGATTGCTTTTTCTGTTGGGAAGACTGTGCAATACACTTGCCGACCTGGATATGCTAAACACCCAGGAATGTCACCTACTATTACATGCCTTGAGAGCGGAGTGTGGTCAGAAGCACTAGAATTCTGTAAAAGTGAATAGCTCCTTGATTTGGTGTCCGTTATTCAAGAAGGATAGGCGCTAGGTTCTGTCCACGCTGAAAAAAACTTAACGTTATTCTGATGTTCAAATAGTATGTGACTAGTAAAGCCATGTAACTCTGTTATTCAAAACCCGTTTGGGGGGTAATTGGAAATGTGGACAGATTACTGGAGTAATAGTTGCATCTGTTGCACCATGGTATGGATAGACAGAAGCCTAAAATGAGGTTTTTTTTCCTCCTCCAGGGAAACAATGCAATCATCCTGGTGAACCTCTGAATGGTAAAATTGCTTTCCTGACAGATCTCATGTTTGGGTCAACAGTGGTCTACAGCTGTGAAGAAGGGTAAGTCCTGGGTTTGGCTACTGCTCAAAACAGCAAGGAGAGACTCATTAGGTAAGTCTCCCTTTTTTCCTCCTATTCAGTCACTCCTGACAAATGGATTCTGTACAGAAGCCACTGTATAGTGTTCTGTACTGATATAACACGTAAGGATATCTTATGTGTCCATGTATATACTGTGAAATTGGTCAGGCAGAGCTAGGAAGGGACCTTCTCCTTCAGGGCCACAGCTCTGCTGTCAGCAGGGCTGATCACACCACCCGGGGTGGTTAGGAGGGGGTAGGAACTCCAGCTGAACCGAGATGAATGTTCAACCCCTTTAACACCAGGTACAGGTTAATCGGACAAGCCAGCAGACAATGTGAGATTTTTGGTGGACGTGTGGCATGGAGTGGCAATGTTCCCATCTGTCAGCGTAAGTAGCTTACACCTCCGGGGCTCTGCATGGATTCTGGAAATATTTTCCAACGGAGATTGCCAAATCTTTCCGATCAAAGCTTTCACAGGGAATTTCTCTGCTCTTGTGGGCATGACAAATAACAGAAGGTTTTGATGTCACAAGAAAATGTTCTGGGAAAGGTACAAGACCTCAAAACTTAACGGCGTATAGAAAGCAATGTCTCAGCTGGAGCTCTGTCAGCAGTACTTGGGTATCCTGTCTCTGAGTGACCACAAGCCCGCAGCAAGAGAGGAAGGGAAAATAATATCTTCCGTTTAAGGGTTGTTATTGTTAGGCACAGAGAGACCAAAGCTCAAACCTAAGGAGAGGCAGAGGGCGTGGGAGGGCCAGAGGATGAATCCAAATTCCCAAACCGTGGGCGCTCTTTCACTCCGAGCACCCCGATAACTGGTGTGTACCCAAGAGCTGCTGTGCTGCACCTCCGCAACTACACCTGGGTGTTTCTCCGCTGATTAAGTAGTGTTGCTCATTAGGTGACAGTTTCATATGAAGAAAGAAATATTTACTGATACATTGTGGGATTTGAAAGCATTTTACAGATTCTCCAGGCACCTGTTAACCTAAGGTGCCATACAGATTGCAGCCTGTGCATGCCTTGGCATTGTGTGCAGCTGAAAGATCAGGATTTTACACAGGCAAATAAATGCAAAATAAATATTTCATAGAAACATAGAATGCTTTGGGTTGGAAAGGACCTTAAAGATCATCCAGTCCCACCCCCCTGCCATGGGCAGGGCCATCTTCCACTAGCCCAGGTTGCCCAAAGCCCCGTCTAACCTGGCCTTGAACCCTTCCAGGGAGGGGGCAGCCACAGCTTCTCTGGGCAGCCTGTGCCAGGGCCTCACCCCCCTCACAGGGGGGAATTTCTTCCTTAGATCTAAATTTTTTTGGTGCTTAAACAGTAGAAAAGATAAAGCATGTAGGTGTTTCCTCCATAGAGGTTTGTCTTACTGGTCTGCTCTCTGTCGCAGACATTGCTGGCCAGGGAGATGGGATCTAGTTGCCTTCAAGGCCTCACCCGGAAGGTCACTCCATTGCAGTTACTCCATCTCTAGGAGGAGTGTTTATGCCCCACAGACTGAGGTATTTCAAGTCCTCTGGTGCTGCTGTTGAATGCAGAAGCCTTGTTCTGCACCTTTGCAGGTATCCCTTGTGAGCCACCTCCAGACATTCCTAACGGGAAGCACACGGGCAGGCTGCTGGATGAATTCTACTACGGCATATCTGTAACGTACACCTGCAACCCCGGGTACCCGCTCCATGGAGAGCCCTCCATCTACTGCACCACCCGGGACGGGAAAAACGGCGTGTGGAGCGGGCCCCCGCCGCGGTGCGGAGGTAGGCTGTGTGTGCACATGCGCATACTCGGGTACGATCCCCCCAGCCCTACTGCTTCGTATTTGAAAAGACTAGGAGCCCTCCAGACAACAGCACTTCTTGCCCAAGTGCCTGCTAGGCCAGGATTAGCCCAGGCTGGTTTCGTAGCTGAGTCTAGGCAGAGGGAAGGAGGCTGGGGCCTCTCCGCTGCCTCCAGCACCCCCAGCCTCACCTTTCAGCTCCGGTCTCTCTCTCAGTGTTTGACATCGCTGGATTTGGGCATCTGTGGGGAAATTATTTTCAGGCTTGTGTCTTAAAGTGGATTGTAATTCTAAGTGGCTTCGCAGCTGAACAGCTCTTCACACTGCCTAAGTGCCTGTTTTGAGGACCTGCACTTCTTTTCCAGAGGCAAGATGTCCTGTCCCACGGGTCCAGAACGGGAGGATCGTGTCTCCCAGGACGTCCTACACACACAAGGATACCATCACCTTTGAGTGTGAGCCAGGCTATGTTCTACGCGGCCACAGGGTGGCACGATGCCAACTGAATAACACCTGGGAGCCGCCCGTGCCAACCTGCGAGCAGGGCAAGTGTTCGATCAGTGCTCTGAATGTGAACCTTCCCCCTGCTCTCCCAAATTTGATTTTTTTTTGACTCCTTTAACAACTGGGCTGGCTTATCTTTCTTGGTAGCTGGCTGCAATGCACCTACCCAACTGGAGTTTGCTGAGCTGAAGGAGCTGTACGGCAACCAGACCGTCTTTCCCGTGGGGAGGACAGTGGAATACGTGTGCCGGCCTGGGTACGCCCAGCACCCGGGGATGCCACCGGCCATTACATGCCTCAGGAATCAGACGTGGTCTGCAGCACTGGAGTTCTGTAAAAGTATGTCTTGCAAGTGCTGAAAAAAACTAAAGTGTCAGGCTTGGCTGGATTTTCAAGTTTTTCTAGCTTTATGGGTTTCTTGATGCAGTCTGGTCTCTGTGTTAGCATCCCTGGCTGGGATGTGAGGGAGCAGCTGAGGGCTAACAGTGCCGGGCATTCCCTTCTAGGGAAAAAGTGTCCTAATCCCGGGGATCCAGAGAACGGCAGAGCTGTTGTCCTGACAGACCTCCTCTTCGGGTCCAAAGTTAATTACACTTGTGACACAGGGTGAGTCTTGCAACTCCCTGAATTCCGCTGCCAAGTGAGAGTGAAGCAGATTTTCAGCTTTACATGAAGGAACCTAGTTCCCTAGCCAAAAGTCTTGGCTGCCTCTTACAAGGGTTGTAAAGAATTCCCAAGTGTCTTAATGTAAATTAAGAGATCCTTCTGTGTGGCTCCAGGTACAAGTTGGTTGGAGGTTCTCAGAGAACATGCGAGGTCTCTGGCACACATGTCTTATGGAGTGGAGATGCTCCTGTCTGCCAACGTAAGTAGGTCACACCAAAAGGTCCTTGGAGATGGCTTGCAAGGGAAAGTGGCATATCTTTCAAGACAAAGATTTTATTGCAAAAGATTTCCCAAGTTACTGTACGTGTAAAACCTTTTATTTTTCTTTTAATTTTGTTTTGTTTTGGATGCTTCCGAAAATGTTTCCAAAGGTCTTTTATTTATCCTAGCCCAAACAGGGAAAATCATTATTATATTAAACTCCCTGTTACTGGGGTTTTTCTCACTGGTCATGTGTAGGAATGATGTGGCCAGGCTCTCCCTGCATGTGTCAACAGTGGTTATGGAGAGGGAGGTAAGAATTGTCCCACCACCTCCAGATGTGGGCAGCACTGAAGTGACTCACAGGAGAGCACCAGTTTTCCTTCCCACATGTGATTTTTTTCCATACAAGCTTTGTCTCTGGATAATTTTGGGTCACTGGATCCAGAGAGCATCACCGCTGAGACGGGTTCAACCCCATTGGCTCCCTTCCTGGGAAGCATGTCCGTCTGGCAGCCCCCGGGCACTGCTGCAGTGCTGATGCTAAATGGCACCTTGTACGCGCTCACAGGTATCACCTGTGACCCACCTCTGGACGTCCCCCACGGGAGGCACAGCGGGCACTCGACGGACACCTTCTCCTACGCGGATGCAGTCACCTACACCTGCGAGCCCGGATACTCGTTGGCCGGAGAGCCCTCCATCTTCTGCACCACGGTGGACGGGGAGCACGGTGTGTGGAGCGGGCCACCGCCGCGGTGTGGAGGTAGGGCTCTGTGTCCGTCCGTCCGTCCCCGCCGGCGAGAGTTGGTTCTGGGTGGCAGAAGGAATGATTGTGGCTGTGGAGGGGGCTGCACGCGCTGACAGGAAGATAGCTAACATGACAGATATTTATTCAAAGTAGTTAATGGAATTAACTCTGGCTTTGGAAAGTTGGATTTTTAGGATTTTTTTCTTGCCCTGTCCATATCCCTTATCTGTCTTTCCTTCTCCTTCGCAGAGGTGACGTGTCCTCCCCCTCCAGGCATCGCCAACGGGAATCACAGTGGCCAGCCCTCGGACAGCCACCTCCCGGGCTCGGCTGTGCAGTACAGCTGCAGGGACGGCTACTCCCTCATCGGGAACGCCTCCATCAGCTGTACCGCCAAGGGGACATGGAGCCGGCCCCAGCCCCGATGTGAAGGTCTGTTTGTGGTGGCTTCTTTTATCTTTCCCTGGGCCCTTTCTTCCTTCTTGGCTCTCAATCTAATCGCTGCAGACCAAATCTCCAGTGTGGGGCAGAGAGCAAAGGTCCCATGGGCAGGAGAAGCTCCATCTGCCTCTGTGGATTTCCCTTTTCATCCCCCAGTAAGGACAGACTCTCAGGAGCAGTTGGATAATGATATTTTGTGTAAGAATAAGAGTAGATAATGTTGACATGCCTGTGACAGTGATGGCAAGGTTCAGCAGCAGATACTGCCCCCAATCAGTGTCCCTCCACACCCAGGATGGGCTTCACATCCCCACTGGTGCCTCATGCTCTTCATTTCCAGCAAATGGGTGCAAAAGACCAGCAATTGAGAACGGAAGAATGACTGAACTGGAGACCACATACAGACTCGGGGATCTCATTGTCTTCGAATGTGATTTTGGTTACGCCTTGAAGGGCTCTCAAGAGTCTTACTGCCAGTTTGGGGGCACATGGGACCCTCCTGTCCCCATCTGTGAGAAAAGTAAGTGTAAATGAGGTGGTGGGTGGTAGCTGATTTCTTCTGAAGGTCCGAGTGCACCTGACAGGGTGCAACCACCTCACATCAGAGGTAAAGGGGCCACGCTCCAGGGCTGGAAAGGAAAAACATCACCAATCTGTCCTCCCATCATCATAGTCCCCAATCAGACCCTTGTTATGGACAACTTTCACCTCTTCAAGTGAATCCACGAAGAGACAGCGAACCAGGCTGGTGTCTGATCTTGTTCACAACCAGAGAAAGGTCAGAGCAAGCTGTTAGGGCCACAGATGGAAACTAACCACTGTAAATGCTTAAATAGTGAGAACTTATCGTTCTTGATGTCAATAAACTCAAAAAACGTGAAGGCTGGAAGATAAGTGAGGGTAGGATGGAAACATAATTCAAACAGTGACAGCCCCAGCTATTTGAGAAAAGGTAATGGGAAGGAAAGAAGAGGCTGCCTTACCCTACAGTGGATGTTTGTGGTACCAGCTCTTCACCGGTTATGATTTTTTCCCCTCCTTGTAGTGCTACAGTGTCCTTCCCCTCCAAATATCAAAAATGGCCATCGTGAGAGCAAGGATGTGAAAGTGTTCATCCCTGGAATGTCGGTGAAGTACTACTGTGACCGGGGCTACGTCCTCACTGGGAAAACAACAGTTTCTTGTTTGACATCTGGAATCTGGAGCATCCCTTATCCCCGGTGTGAAGGTGAGCTCTGAATGCTGTTCCCCATAATGATAGGAGACCGTTGTGGTCGCACAGCTCTCCTGAATTTTCACCTCACAAAAGCAAAGGGAGAACCCTCAGCTCTAGCAGCCGCTTCCCCAGCCCATATTCTGCCGCTTTTCACTTCCAGTGATCAACTGTGCAAGCCCCAAAATCCAGCATGGAGAAGTGGCTGAAGGACTGCGCACTGTGTACCCTTCCGGGGCCAACGTCACCTTCCAGTGCCACCCGGGCTATGTGCTGTGGGGCAGCCGTGAAGCCAAGTGCCAGCCCGACGGCCGCTGGGTACCCGCTGTCCCCACCTGCAAGCCAGGTGAGCGTGGGCACCTCGGGGTTAGGCAGGAGGATGCTTAGGGCCATCCCTGTGCCAGAGGGCACTGAGGTCGTGCTCACCGCCTCACTTGCGTCGCTTCAGGTGTGGCAGTTTTTTGTCAAGTTATGTGTGTTCCAACATTGGGCAAAATCACTAAAACGCCGTTCTCTGTCCTTGCCCTGTTAGTGCTGCCTTGTCCTCCGCCTCCCGTCATTGCCCACGCCACGCACAGCGCAGAGCTCGGGACCAACTTCACCAGTGGCATGTCTGTGAGCTACAGCTGCCAGCCCGGCTTCGTCCTCCTCGGAGATCCCTCCGTGCTGTGCACGGCCTCAGGGAACTGGAGCCTCCCGTACCCACGCTGCACAGGTGGGGCCGGCAGCTGCCGCAGCTCCCCGTGCACCCATGGCCGGCTGAGCACCCGTCCCATGCTCGGCTGGTCCCGGAGCAGGCAAACCTGCCAGCCCGCAGAATGGGCATGAGGAGGGGGGGAACGGCAGGTCCAGTGAGGTCTGAGTGTGCTTCGGGCACGTGCAGGAGCTGCGTTCATTTGGGGGGCTTTGCGCATGCATCCTTCCTGCGTGTTACCCCATCCATACCATTTTTTCATCTTGTTTTTCCTCTTTCTTCAGTGCTGCAATGCCCCTCACCTCCAAATATTGACAATGGTAATCACAGCAGTCAGGGCTTGGAAGTTTTCACTGCTGGGATGGTTGTAAATTATAGCTGTGACCCTGGCTACAGCCTCCTGGGAGAGGCATCGCTCTACTGCACTGACTTTGGGAACTGGAGCCTCCCTCCTCCTCAGTGTGCAGGTACACTGTGGTTCCAAGATGGGAGTTATGGATTGTCTGGGAATTTCTGCCATGGAAAGCCTGCAGCATTCATCCTCTTCCTTGCTCTTTCCAAAATTTTGAATCCTTCAGTCTTTGTTTTCAGCTTCGCTTGTAAACTTTCATCTATGCAAACTCAACATACATTTTAAAACAACTCTGTGTAGCTGATAGCCCCATTTCTCCCCGTGTTTTCTTTCCTGATAGGTGGTTGTGGCACACCTCCAAACTTAGCCTTTGCTGAGCTATCGAAGGAATACAAAAATCTGACAGAGTTTGCTGTTGGGGCCACTGTGCGATACAGCTGCCAGCTGGGATACATGAGACACCCCGGAATACCCCCAACTCTGACATGCCTCAAAAACCACACGTGGTCTGAAGCGCTAGCGTTTTGTAAAAGTGAATAGCTCAATCAGTTTGATATTGGTTGTTAAAAATTGTCTATGTTACATTTGTGGGTTTCTTAAAACAATTCTTTAAGAAATGATTCATACATGGCTTCACTAGTCACATAGTTTGGGCAGTTATTGGCCTTTTGAAAAACACATCTTTATTGGCATCTGAACGTGGACCGATCCTTAAGATACCTTCTCGTAGTGCATTACAAAACTTCAAGAGAGGAGTTTAAACTCAGCCTTGTTCTTTCCCAGGGAAGCAATGTAAATACCCAGAAACACCAAAGAATGGCAGAGTTGTTGTTCTGACAGATCTTCATTTTGGGTCAACCGTGAGCCACACGTGTGAAGAAGGGTGAGTCTGATGCTGCCTTTGCTGACTCTATTCCTGAGCTCGGTGTTGGACAACTTACAGTAAAGGCTCAGAGCCCACTCTGCTGCGCGGCCGTTCTCCCACAGCAAGCCAGAATTTGTATTTTGGTTCCAGTTGTGCCATAGTTGCCTGCTCCGGAAAGGGAGAAGTGTCTCTCATTTTCCCCTGCCTGTGCTCGGTAGATTACTTTGCAACCGTGAGTTTCAGATGGCCACCCCAGCAGGAGCTGAGTGCAAGCAAGCACGTGCTGCAAGGAGGCTCCAGTGGTTTGGAAATCACTTGGGTCTGAGTCCTGATTTAGCACCTGACCAATCTAACCCGGAGCACTTTGGGATCTTTGCTCTTCCTCTTGGATCTAGAAAGAACTTGGTGTCCTTCATTCCCATGTGTCAAACTGACAGAAACACCTCGGTGGGGACCAGCCAGAATCAGTCAAAGGAAACCTCTGGGGGTAGGGTCAGTGTGGGAGTGCAAAACCGAAGCTGAATGACTTGGTATCAACCTGTGTTTCTTTCTCTGTAACTCCAGGCACCGACTGGTTGGACAGTCTCAGAGGCGATGCGAGATTTTTGGACCAGATGTCGCATGGAGTGGTCTTCTTCCCATTTGTCAGAGTAAGTAGGTCACCACCACAATTGCCAAATTAAGTCCTTAAAATTAAAAAGTGGAATTTCCTTAAAATAAACAGAACCCTGAAGAATAAGCCTTTTTAAGCATAATTTTCCTGTGGGATGTTTTGTTTTGCTCGCTTGTTTAGTTTCTTCTAAAAGTCTTCCAGATGCTAGCTCTTGATCTTTCATTGTTATGTAGACTGAAGATTTGAGATGCCTGCAAGGACTTATCCTTATTTTTTTTTTTCACAAACATAAATAATAAATTAAGGAAGAAACATGTCTTGCAGTAGAAGAGTGGGATATTGAGTAAAATTGAACTGGGATCTTCGAAATACTGTACTGGTAACCAAACCACAAGGCTGTTTTGCAGGGGTTGATCATTGCAATTAGTCTTTTCTTCAGATGGAATTGCTTTGGGAGGTGTGAGCTTGGTATAGTAAAGCAGTCACGGGAACGACTGACAGCACTTAGGGATTTCTACACCATTAAATGTGTTTATTGCAATGTATTTGCATTATTTGCATTATTCTGTTTATAGGCACAAAAATATGTTTAACACGGTAACCCCCCAAGTATTACCCGTGAAATTCCTCTGAGCAGTGGCACCTTAAGGATGGACTTTATACGTGCACCAAGTAGAGCATACATACAGCTCCCTCTCTGAGATAATGAATTTATTTTTCAGAGGTGGTATGTCCAGCCCCACAGATCCAGAATGGGACCGTATCTGTTCTTAAATATCGCTACACATACAAAGACACTGTTAGCTTTAAGTGCCACAAAGGTTTCACCTTGCGAGGCCATCACACAGCCCAGTGCCAAGCTGATAAAACATGGGATCCACCTGTACCGGTGTGTGAGCAGGGTAAGTGGCAGCGCTCTGACCTCTCAGCATCCTCGATTCCTCCCCCACAGCTCCCACCCACCCACTGAAGTCAAAGCTGGCTTGAGTTTTCCTGTTTGCTTCAACTACATTAAGGAGAAACCAAAACTTGTTCCTTTTATTAACACCTCTCTTCTCACACAGGAGATAAGCCAGGTTTTGGGTAAGTATAAGCATGATTTGTACTTTTCTCACCCTGCTTGCTGCAATCCATAATCCACATTCTCTTCATTTCCTGAAAGTGAGAAATTTGGTGGCTTCAGGGCGGCACAATGACTGTCAGAGAGGAGTGAAATTATTGCTAGAAGTGTAAAGGCAAGGTGATGGAAAATGAAGGGAAATTTGTGCATTGTATTTGCTCAGCCAAGTGTGTATTTTAAGCTCTTAATGTTGCATCTAGATGGAGTGGCAGAACGCTATCATCATCCTGATACCACAGCGAAGCCAGGTAGGTCAATTACAAGAAGAGGCAAGATTTACTAAACATTAACTCCTCCCAACCTCTCCTTGGGAGGGGCGATTGTGCTTACTCTCTTCTCTACCTTTTTTACGACTGAACATCACCTCTTACACTCTCCCTCTTTCAGTAGTGAAGTGTCTGCCTCCTCTGGGCATTGCTAACGGGGAACACAGCCGTCCTTTGTCAGGCGCTTTTGCTGTAGGAGCACTTGTGCACTATCGCTGCAAACACGGCTTCTCCCTCATCGGCAGTAAGTCTGTTCGTTGTACAGCGCATGGAGTCTGGAGCCATCCCCTTCCTCGATGTGAAGGTGTGTTTGTGCTCTTTTCACTGAATCTTCTCAACTTTCTTAAATGCGTTAAACATATTTGCCTCAGGACTGGCTGAAACAAGCTGTTGCTTCAACAAACTCTGCAAGTAAAGAAAGAACTAAGATCTCTGTGGCCAAGAATGAGGTATCTGTGGCCAGGAACGAGGTCTGTGGGCTCTGTGGGCTCTATCTCACACAAGTTTCACAGTCTAAAGGGTTCTTTATACCCCTGCTGTCCACAGTTGGCTGTGTGAGCCTGAGTTGGGAATGGAAAAGCAGTCAGACTGGAGTCCCTGGAGACATCATTACAATTGAATGCAACACTGCTCATGTCCCAAAAGACCTCCACAAGTCCCAGTGCCAGCCTGGGGGCACAGGGGCTCTTCCCCTCCTCACCTGTGAAGGAGGAAAGTATGTGTTATCTGTCCTTGGAAGGCTATCCTTTCTGACCTTATTGCTCTCGGTAATGTGTTGTCAGATGTTTAGGAGGCAAGAATCCAGTGTTCAGATCTGAAGATCCACCCATCCTAATCTTTGCCATCCTTGCTGCAGTATATGGTGCCTCGGTTTCTCCATACAAACACCTTAAAAATGAGCTTAGGCCAGCTTTGCCGGCCATAAGGAACCTGTATGGATGTTGTAACCCGATGGTCTTACAAGTGTGGAATTGCCATTATATATGTGAACTAATCACTATTCTTACCTGATATAGCAGGAAAGATGATGTTGGACAATGTTTCTTTCTGTAAGAAGAAATGTGTGTGATGCCCAATGCTTTAGAGATGATTTGGGGTGAAGTGAGTGCCGAGGGTTGGTCTGTGTGTTGGATTCCACACTGCGGGAGTGAGTGTACAGCTGTCCACGGCGGCTCAAAGGTTTCCCCTTTCGTCTCTGTGAGCTCTGTTTTGAGCTGCACTCCTCTCTTTCTAGTTCTGCACTGTTCCAAGCCTGCAGATATCGCTCATGGGTCTCTCAGTGACCCGACAAAAGCTTTTTTCACTCCTGGGACAGCTGTAAGCTACATCTGTGAGCCCGGCTTCTCTCTCATTGGGACAGCATCTATTTATTGTACACAGTCTGGAGCCTGGAGCCATCCTCCTCCAGTCTGTCAAGGTGTGTTTTCGTTGCAGAAAGCTAAGAAGTAAGGACATTTATCATGCCTTGCCTTAGGGAAAGGTTGGTAGAAGGACTAAATCTGAGTCCTTTGCTACAGAACGTGTGATAAGAGCAAGACCGAGTTTATACCTATTTCCAAAGCCTGATGGAGTTAGAGGGTTACAAAATGAGTTGTTGAGCTTAGGTGAAAACATTAGAAGGGAACAATCAAAGCTGCAAAGGTACAGTGCCTTGGCTACTCTCCGGCAGTCCATCAGGATCCTCATGTCAACGCTGTTGTTTCTCTCTCCCTGACTTCCCAGCTGTGAAGTGTCTCCATCCTCCAAACATCACCAACGGGAAGCTCAAAGGCAACATCTCTGACACTTTTTCCTACGGAGCATCTGTATCCTACAGCTGCAATCCAGGTTATTCACTCGTTGGGAATGCTCTCATCAGCTGCACGGGGTCAGGAACCTGGAGCCAACCACCTCCTCACTGCAAAGGTGTGTTTGTGCTTAGTTTGCTCACGTAGTCTGGAATTTGTGGTGGCAGAACCAGAAATGGGCTGAGGAGACATTCAGCCATGCCGATATACATGTTTTACTTTGGGGAAAAATTAAGAGAGATACATGGGCCATAATCTAAAATACTGTAAAATAGTCTGCAGTTAACACTGAATTCCATCCTCTCACTTTGCTTGGGATATCATTACTTTTACATTACATATCATTACTTTGCTTTTATATCATAGCTAGACAGTGTTGATCTATAATTATGAATTTGTCTACTCTCTGTTATCCCTAGGAAGAGTATAATATTGTTGTAAAGAAGCCGGGTGGGAGCCTCATGCTAACAATCAGAGGGATATGAGTACGACAGAGGCAATGCTGAAAGGCAGCTTTAATTCTCTGCTCTTCTTGCTACAAATGAGTTGCATACCCACTTTCCTCCATTAAAAAGTTTTTACTTCTAGCAGAAGAGTAGAAACTTTTTCCCTGTCCTTCCCTTTTCGTGTCTCTCACTCCCCAGTTACCACTAACAGGAAACAAAGTTGTCGCTGAGGGATGGTTTGTAGATTACACATGAGCCTGACCATTCCCTTCTCGGAAAATGCCTCTATATCTGTGCCTGGGCAGCTCACTGTGAGGGTCAGTCATCAGGCAAACCTGACTAAAGGCAATTTCATCAATGTCACAAGTTTCCTAGCGTGGATGTTCCTGCATGGAAACCTGGACGTTCACCAGATAACATTCATTACCCACACAGGGCGCTTCCTTCATGGAGTTGCACCCACCTCAGTGACTCAAGAATTGAAACACACTCGGCTAACAATGAGAGGAAATGATGTACCATTATGTTATTTATGTAAATAAGTCAGAGGTTCTTTAAAGGAAGCAGTCTCACAGAAAAATTCGCCCTGCCATTCCGCATTCTCATGGTTTTGAAGCGTCTTTAGTAACTATTACGTGTGATAGTAAAGATAAATATTTTAAAAAAGGTGTAAAACAAAGGGTCACATGTTGACATCACCCCTTTGGTCTCCACCGAGAAGTTTCTCCAGAATTCTTGGGCTTGGGACTGTCAAAGGTGTTTAGATGCTTAAATTGAAGCAACTCACTTACTTCATTGAAATCAGTGGTATAATATAAGTAGCTTAGATGGTTGGACTAATTAATAAATTAATTATCACTAGATAATATGGCTGGTGACAGGGTAAGAAACGTCTACAGACTAGAACTGGGTTATAGGCAGTTGGTTCTAAGGCTCCTACAGAATTCTTCCCTGCTACACCTTTCTTCTCAAAATGTTTTTGGTAGCCCAGTATCAGAAAAATCCTTCTCTGGCAGGCTTCTCTCAAGGTATCCCTACTCCCCATGGTTTTCCATCTGCCCTATCAGTGTGGAGTAGCTGATCTGTACAAATGTTCACATGGGAGTGACACACCTATCCTCTTCTGCAGCCATAAAGAAAGGAATTACCATGTGGAATAAGAATGAATTCCTGGTTACATTCAGAGAGAATTCAAAACCAATGTCCTAATCCACAGTTCTGTTTCTTGTATTTTATGTTCCCTCTCATTAAATGTCCTTTTATTGTTATTTCTAATTTCAGAGATCAGATGTGTATTCCCAGAAGTTCAAGGTGTTAAGAAAAGCATAAAAGGAAATACTTACCGCTCCGGGACTAACATCACTCTTGAATGTGATGATGGTTACACGTTGGAAGGCATCAGTCAGATTCAGTGCCAAGAGGACTTCAGCTGGGACCCTCCTGTACCAGTCTGTAAACTGAGTGAGTGGAACATGAATGAAACAAAGATCAAACCAAAAACCACAATTTTTTTGAATATGCAAGTATATTTCTGTATTAAAAAAAAAATAAAAATATATATATATATATATATATATAAAATGGTGTGGGTTTTAAGAAATCCTGTATTGTAGGCTTTAGCAGTAAAAACTTGATTGATAAAGTGATTAGCTACAGCTGAGGAACACCATATTTTGTTAGAATAGATTGCTGATTTTTCTTTTTCTCTTCCCTTCAGCATCGCACAAGTCTGGTTCAGTAGGCCTAGGTAAGAAGCTTAGAAACATTTTTCTGGCCAGATCTTTAGCTTCATGCAGTGGCCTTGGAGGCACCGCTTCCCTCTGCTTACTTTGAAGATGCCTCTTAATGTCTTTTGTGCTGATATGCTTTAAAACACACAGTGAGAATAATACACACCCTTCTCTCTCAGGAGTCGCAGCTGCAGGAGTCCTGCTTCTCCTGGGGGCAGGCATTGTCTGGAAAATTCTTTCTAAGCAGAAGCAAGGGTAAGGCAGTCTTCCTGATGTTCATCCATGTCCCTTGTTGACAAGTCACAAGTTTCATACACTTTATACACTTGAAATACTTGCCTGAGTTTGCCTTGGTCTTGTAATTTCGCATCTTCAGCTCACGCTGGCAAAGGGTACAACCTGGAATCAGTGATGTGGTTGTGTTGTTACAGATCAATACTCTCTTCCCTAGAGGAAACCGACCTGAGTGTTCTTCTACAAACCAATACAATTCAACATTTTCTTGTTTTTCACTTAGCTTTTACCATACATATGAAAACGACAATTACCAAACCCCTCTGAACCAGATCACAGAACAGAAATGTTCGTGTCTTCCATAGAAGGTATGGATTTATATTCCTAAATAGAGAGTATCAGTTATAGCTGCAAACTGGAGTTGTTCCAACATAGTCATTCAAGCAGAAAACCCTTTCCCTACAGTCTTCTGGTAAGATGCTTTCTTTTTCTGAATAAAAGAGACTGTTTTAAACCCACTGTTTTTTTCCACATCCTATTTTTTTTTTTCTGACACGACCCTCGCTGTGCATGTTTCCTTTTCCATAATCTGAACAGACGACGCTCACGGGTCAGACTTTCAGGCTATGCCATACTTCTGACATAAACTTGGGGGTTTTTTTGGAAGGATTACGGGAGAATTTGCTCTCTAAAAAAACTACCCTAACCTCACTAATATAAGAAAAGGACGTTGAATTGGGCCTTTGGGGTTTTTTCACTTGCTTTTATGCTTACTGCAATGCCATTTTTACTTACAGGTGATTCTCCTTTCTATGTTCAAGCGTTTTGTTGGGTTTTTTTTTTACTAAAGGCTGGTTTTAGGTAATTCACTTTTTGAAACAATACATTTCTCAGAAATTCTCTCCTCCCTCCCTGAGTTATGATGTAACCTCCGGACAGAAGTGTGAAAACAGGAAAAATCTAATTTTAACCCCAGGACGTCATCTTTTTTTTCCTAGGCTCGGCATTCACGCTGCTGCTACCCAGGCATTCGACCCGTTCTCTGTGCAGAGAGCAGCTGCAGTTTGCATGGAAGCGTTTGCTCACGTCAAGACTGGAGATTCTGTGGCAAAAACCGGCACTTTACTCTCGAACCAGCATTAACGCTCCGTCCGCTCGCGTTCATTACTGTGCCGATGTCCCAGAGGTCAAAGGGCACGTAGCAGAGATGCTGTTTCAGGGGGACTTCTGGACGCCACTGCTGTCTGATAAGGAACCTTGCCTTTCTCTCGTGCAAACCCTGCGATAAGATCCGCGGGAGCGTTTCTGCCCAGGCGTGCAAGTCACGGTTTGTTAAACCAAAGGTTGTCTTACCGGCCCCCCTGTTTCCACCTGCGGCCGCAGCACACGCTGCGCTGTTTTCTCCTTAGAACACTTGTCTGCGGAGTTCCTCTACAAATGCTTCACCTAATAAAAGCTGAACGCGGAACAATAATTCCTTTCGGTTTTCTCTTTTGTGTTCATCTCGCTGTTATTGTTTTTCCTGCTCGGCAGCGCCCGCGGTTTGTCTTTCAAAGGAGAAGCAGCTCCCCCCCCCGAGGCTGTTCATCCCGGGCGGGCACGCAGGCGCCTTTATTTTTTATTTTTAATTTTTAATCAGCCTTTGTTGGCGTTCGGAGCTCAGGAGCCGCGCAACGAAACGCGCTTTGAGGCTTTTCCGCTTGGCCGGTGACGAGGGCGGCCTCTGCCCAGGAAAGGGCCCGGTCTCCTCCGGCCGGGGCCTCTCCCCGCGCCCCGTTTCCTCCGGGCGAGGCCAGGCCCGCGGTCGTGAGGGAGAACGGGCGGGAGC